AGTACCTGTATATATGTAAAAATGATGAAAACTACTATGTATAAGCATTGACATTGAAGATGTACCCATAATTGTATGTAATAATTCGCATGTTTTTTGCAATTTATTTCATTTTTTTTTCATATAGCGAAATGACCCATGAGGTTCAAATGCTCTAAATAAAAAAAAGTGCAAAAAGCAATGTGATTGATGAAAATAATATGTCCCAATTTATTAGCTGTTAAATTTTTGTATGAATTACTTGCGTATATGTACTAATTCCTAAGCTCACTGAAGGAGATTTTAATCATGATTAGAATTCAACTTCTTCACAAGCATTATTCAGAGAATCAATTGTTGGAATTCAATGCTTGTTGATACTCGGGTAAAAGTGCGTGCCAACACTGTTATAGATTTTTTAAGTGAGTTTACTTCGCTTCAGTTCATATCATCAACGTAATTGGTTGCTTAGAATGTCGTCACTTTATTTTTGTTGTGAATCTGAAATTCATATTGATGTTTCAGATGATATGATTTTCAATCCTAATCAATTTTTCAATCCTAATCAATCCTAATCAATTTTTTACTCGAAGAAGAATTTTTCCATCGAAATAATATATAATAACCAATATAAAATAACTTCGAAATTTTTGTGAAATTGTTGAGAAAATCCGAGGAATTTCTCAAATTTTTCGAATAATTTCCTTTTTCATTTCAATCAATCAGCGTACAGTGGCGGTCACGTGACTTCTTCACATTAGTTTTATTCGGAAAAGTCCGCCTTTTCTTATCAATTGTTCTACCATGGTTTATTCAAAAATTCTCCAATATCTGGGAGATACCGAAAATTTTCTATAATTTTAAAAAAATTCATGGATTTTCTCAAATTTACAGACAAACCTTCATAATTGTTTTAAATTTTCTGAAAAACTCCCGAATTATTATACATTTGCAAAAACAACCGACAATTCTCTAATTTTTTAGGAAACCTGTGAACTTCCTTGAAATGCCTATAATTTATCTCCTATTCATCCTTTTAGAGATGGATTTTGTAAAGAATTTAAAACACACAGTCATTAATGTCCAAAAATCTTTTCTTAAAGAGCGCCCAGAAATAGGACCTCCTGTGAAATTTTCACATTTCTATAGTTTTACCAGTTTCGGCTTTGCATTATTATCTCAATCAAGCTGAGGGGCTCCCTTCATATTTATAACGCAATTACGGCTGTGACATTGATGACATTTTCTATACCCTTTTTCCTGCCACATCCAATATTTGTTTACTGTCATAGATTTTTAAAAATAAATTCACTCGTTAATTCAATCAGTCTTTTCATATCACCAATATAATTGTGTGCGTAGAATATCGTCACTTCATCCTGTTTTGTGAATTTGAAATTCAAGTTAATGTCCAGATGATCTGATATAAATATCATCATTCTTATTCTGTGCTATTATGAAATATTAAATCCCAGCTTTTTATTCATAATAGAATTTTTGAATTTGGATATCATTATTATTTTTTCAAAGGAAAAAAATGATCTTCACTTTCAGTGTGGTGCATTTAGATTCGCCTATACTTGACGTAAAATATGTCAGACAATCTCATAATTCTAGCTATTGATTCTAATTGACTTTGTTTGAAATTTCATTTTTTTTTTCAACAGTACAACTGCTATTTACTCATAGTTACGAGGGAACCTTTTTTAAAAATTGAATAAAAATTGAACGTTGACTTTTCGAAATAGACTAATGAAATGATTGAAAAATCTTAATTTTCGGAGACCATGACCATTTTTAAAAGTAAATGATTCAATCATAATCAATTTTTCACTCCAAGAATAATTTTTCCTGAGTTGTAACTAATCTTTCTGATTCCAGAATTTAACCAAAAATCAATTACATGCCAAAACAATCATATGTTTGCAAGTTTGAACCATTCCATTATTTATTGCTAAGAAGGGAATGTTGAAAAAACCACGTATTTGTGGAATTTTGATCGAATGCCGCTAATTATGCATCCTTTATTTTCGAGTTTATCCTAGTCAATGCAATTGAGAAATTGGATAAGTGAAAATTTTTGAATAAAGTGTTCCGTCTTTTTCATTCTATTGAGAAAATTAAATATTCTTCGGTTTTGTGGATTAGTATTGATTTCATTAAACAATAATCGAATGAAAAAAATCGAAAACAAATTATTTATGTTAATTAGGAATTTGATCTGTTAATCCTTACTCTCTACCTCTAGATACTACCTTGTCAATTCTCAACTCTCATCACCAAAAAAAATGTCTAATTCCACTGATTATAAACGAAACCATGTGTAGAAAATATACACCGATGTATTTATTGTAGACACGATATTTGTTTCTCAATTCAGATTATCAGTCCGCTTTATAATTCACGCGTACTTTTTTCAAATAGCGCTGTCGCGCCCGTCTCGCTGATTCTCATGAACATTCACATGAAAATGCGTCGTGCGTGCGCGGCCATGACATTTTTGACATACTCTCCGCCATGACAGTTTTCAATGCATGCTTTTTATTAAAAGGAATGTTTTTTTATAAAGAGGATTTAGTAAGGATGTTTGAATTTTCACTTAAGATTCGAGATATTGCCCATGCTTTTTTTAAAGTAAAGATTCCATTCGATGATTCCGTGAACTGAAAATTTCCTCGAATTGTTATTAAAATCTGGGAATTTTTTCAATTTTTTTTAGAGAGCTCGAGAGATTTGTGAAATTGGTGCGAAAAATCGACAAATTTGTCGATTTTTTAAAATTAACTAATGTTTTGATTTCGGCAAATCAGAATGCAGTGTTCAAAGTCACATGACACTTCCACATCATTTTTATTTATCAACTTTGCAATCCTTTATTGTGTTACTTTTTTCTTGGAATTCACATGAATTTTATAATATTTTCTTTTGTAATAACCAAATTAGTATGGGCATACGCGAACAATATTATCTGATAGATATGATTATGAATTATTTGCTCGTTCCTTATTTCAGGCTAAAAACACACTTTGAATCTCGCGCTCATTTTCGCAAAAGTCGCTCAGGAAAATGCCCAATTCACAGAGCACATTTTTTTTACAATGCCATCTGCCGTCTCCCTGAAGCTTGTTCTCATTCGAGACATTTTGAGTTCGACTTTTTTCAATTCGAGTTTTTTTACTGGTGTCTTTTATTAAAAAAGGAGGATTTATCTAACTAATGAAAATAGTACGTAAAGATGTTGTTCATGTGGATCCACCATGCGATCTCCAAAACCCATGAGAGAATGTGTGCCGCCATATTCAACATGGCGATGAGCATTGAAGTTGATCACGTGATCACTGGGAGGTCGCCATGACAGTTTTTACTCATGAATCTTTTTTATTGGGATTGGGATCCCCTTCTCGGATGCTGCCGCCCACTCTCGGTCGCCTGATCGCTTTCTTTTGTCTTCCGTATATAAACACAGAGGTCCAAATAATTTTATTTGAAAATCAAACTATCCATTCTCTTTCGTTTTTCTGAAAACTTGGGCCGGCATTGGTTGAGGAGTGGGGGTCGGTGGAAAATTGCTCATTTCGTGGAAATGGTATCCCTACAACTCTTTCGATGGGCAACTAGCGAGAATCTACTGTACACGTTTGAGCAGGATCTGATCAATTCATATCATCACAATCTGGACCTGATCTAAATTTCCACTTAGGGAAGTCTCATTTTTTCAGCAGCAAGATGAGGAAAATTCCACAATTTTCATGAATTTTCAAGTGAAATGAATATTTACCGTCAAATTCTCTTGTATTTTAAAGGAATTCCTGCAAAATTCTCGGCATTCCAGGATCTTTTGGGAGAATTCCCTGAAAATTCAGAGGAATCTAAAATTCAGGGAGAGATTTCTCTCAATTTTCCTGAATTTTCATTAATTTTCCCGGAATAATTAAACGGAAACTTACAGTTTCCAAATAAACCACGAATTCATCCATGAAATTATGAATTTTAACTGCCAATATTGCTTGAAATTTCAGTGGACATGTTACTTGTTAGAAATTTTCAAAACCATCCGGAAGCCATCAGAATGAATAATTTTCAAAACTCTTAGCGGAAATTTCAGTGGAATATTGTTACCATTGTTCTTAACAAAGGGCCGGAGATGAAATTTCTATTAGATTGTTTGTCTTCGAATAACCCCCTGAGCTGCCTTCACGATATGTATGACTTTTGGAACACTGTAGAATAACGAATAGGTACTGCCAGAATAGTATTTTTCCGGGCTTTTGCGATGGGGTTTTTGGGCGGACTAACCACCCGAATAAAAAAACCCATCATAACAGCTTGAGACAAGATTGTTTTGTAGTGATTTTCAAGTTTCCGAGTTTGGGTAGTAATAATTTTTTCTTCTCGTATATTCTTTCGGGTCTTTACGATTTGTTCCCTTCCCACCCCCAACCCCCTGTACCGCATTCGCCGAAGGACAAGGGAAAACCTCATTTGAGGGAAAAACCTGCCCAGGGACAGTCGTCTCTTGCGAGACTCCCGCTCGACAATGAAACCGTGAGATTTAGAGTGTCACAAATTTTGGCCCCCCCAGCCGGGAATCGAACCCGGGTCTCCCGCATGCCAATCCCACACTCTAACCACACAGCCATCGCCGTCGGTAGTTTGGGTAGTATGCAATTCCAATTCTCAGATGAGGAATCGTGAAAAACAGTACGAAAATAGTATATTTTTGCTTGCACAGAGAATAGCAATTGTTTTAACTAACTAAATCTATTTTTGCAATAAAGATTTTTCATCTTTTTTTTGTCAATTTTTAGCTCGCGATTTTTTGGTTCAAACGAGACTTGTTTGAGGAAACTTTATTGTTTTCTATCAGTGTGAGTGCAGATTGTTCATGAAATTCCTATTTTTTCTCATAGTGAATGAATCTTAACCGATCGCCATTGACAAATTTCATTCCAAGTAATGAATATTCCAATTATTCCATTCAGCCACTCCCTCCCTTCATGAAAAACGAGAGCATGACTTACCGCCAAATATCCACACCATGACAGCCGCATTGTTCGGCCTGGGATGAGGCACCACGACATTCACATATAGACAGTCCTCGCTCAGTTCGGTGTTGGGATTCCACATGGTTGCACCAGAGAAATCACCGAACACCTCATCATATATTTGCACACAACTATTTGGTAATTTGGTGGCATTTAGAATGCCATCCCATTTGTCCACGGACCGAGGATGCCGAAATCTGAGACGTCCAATGGGCTTTTGGGCGTAGGGTATGCTGTAAAAGGCATCGACTTTTTTGCCACTGGGTGCTGTCAATGTCGCACCCCGTACACGTCCTTTCCTGGTTTGTACTACTAGAGGATCGTCTGGACTGCTCTGCGCCTCTGCATGGGGCAGTGGCTCCTCCATCACGTGGGGTACTCTTTTCGACTGTTGCTGCTGCTGGGACTGGTGCTGCTGTTGACTCAGTGAACTCTGTTGACTTATCTCCTCGTGGGATAGGTCAGCATGATGTCTACTTCTATGGGATGGTGATGCACTGGCGCCAAAGTCTAGGGTTGTCGCAACAACAACAGTCAGGACCACCAGTGTTTCCACGTTCAGGAGGGCGCTACGACCTCTCGTCATCGCCATCGTACTCGCGCCACTCCTCTCCACTCCCCTTCGCGCCTGCACGATACAAAAATTAATAATTAAACATTGACAGTTAGAAATTTTTGATTGAAATCTACTTTTCAGCAAATTGTGAATTCCAAGGGATTCAGTTTTTGAAATTTTATAATTTCATGAAAAAATCTAAGGGAACTGTAAATTTGAGTTTAATTATTTCATGAAAATTAATACAAATCAGATCCATTCAAGTCACTAGATTTTTGAATCGATGGAAAATTAAGCGTAATTTAGTACTGAACATTTATGTTTTAACTGAAAATAACTATTTTGTCATTCATGCCCGTTAAGTGGCGTTTTCGTGGTGTGTTTTAGAACCCGTAAGTGGGATTTACCAGGCCATGGGCCGGTAAGTAAAAACTAGCCCCGATTTCACGATTTACGGGCCATGGCCTGTTAAGTAAGACGTGAAGTGAGTCCCTCTTACACTATAGCTCGTGCGGCTGAACTATAGTTTGCCACCAAAACCCAAAAATTCACGAGGAAAATCGTAATAAATTCCGTTAAACAAAAGAGCGAAATGAATTTCATTATACTCGACAGTGACGAAGAGGAGTCACAAGACATTTTTAGTGAAGTGAATAATACCAGTGACGACGCAGCAAGTACGTCAGCACAAATAGTGGAATTTTACCTTGTGACACATTCTACTTCATTTTTTCATTCCAGATCGGTCCGTTAATTTAGAATTTATAATTTATCATTTCCCTCTTTTCAATTTTGTTTATTTGGTCTTTCTTCAGTG